CTCCCCCAACCAATCAGGCTTTGTCAAAGGAAGGAATATCTCTGAAAACATCATGTTAGCCCAGGAGATAGTTCAGGGGATCAAAAAGCCAAACCTTGGTTCAAATGTGGTCATTAAACTGGATATGGCCAAAGCATATGATAGAGTATCCTGGGCCTTTACATGTATTATGATGAGAAGGATGGGATTTGGTGAAAGATTCATTGATATGGTTTGGAGAACCCTATCCAACAATTGGTACTCTGTCATAGTTAATGGACTCAGATGTGGTTTCTTCCACTCAACTAGAGGGTTAAAACAGGGGGACCCCCTGGCCCCTTCTCTTTTCATCCTAGGAGCAGAACTCCTATCTAGGATGCTTAACAGCCTTACCAGTGATCAGTTCTTCAATGGTTTTCACATGGAAAAAAGAGGCCCTCAGATCAACCACTTGAGCTTTGCAGATGACATCATCATCTTCTCATCTGGTAGTAAAGCTTCTCTTCAGAGAGTAATGTGGATTCTCAACAGTTATGAAGCCACATCTGGACAGCAAATCAACAGACACAAAAGTCATTTCATGACTGCTTCATGTGCCAGACAAACTACTGTGAGAAGAATTCAAAAAGTAACTGGCTTCACCAAGAAAAATTCTCCCATCACCTACCTAGGATGCCCTCTGTATACTGGGAGGTTGAGAGTTTCCCACTTCAACAATCTCATTGCCAAAATAGTAGCAAGAATCAGAGGATGGCATGGCAAGATGCTATCATATGGAGGTAGAGCAACATTAATCAAATATGTCTTGCAATCCTTGCCAATCCATCTTCTCTCTGCTGTCTCACCTCCAAAAACTGTCATGAAACAAATTGAGAGACTAATGGCAAACTTCTTTTGGGGCATGGAGAAGGACAAATTCAAATATCACTGGGCTTCTTGGCAAAAAATGTCTTACCCTATGAATGAAGGTGGCCTTGGTTTCAAATCTATTGCTGATGTCTGCAAATCTATGGAGTACAAACAATGGTGGCATTTCAGAACCAATAATTCTTTGTGGAGCTCCTTCTTAAGAGCTAAATATTGTCAAAGATCCCATCCAATATCCAAAAAATGGGATACTGGACAATCTCAAGCATGGAAGAAGCTCATGTCAAACAAAAAAGAGGTAGAGAAGGTGATCATTTGGAGACTGCACTCAGGTTCATGTAGTTTTTGGTGGGATAATTGGCTAGGTGAGGGCCCTTTGGCTAACTATAGGACTGAAGGGGGCAAACCTGGGAGAATCTCTGTTTCCCAACTGTGGGAAGGGGACCAATGGAACTTACAGAAACTCAATGAAATTGCTCCTACTCACATGATCCCACTCATTCTCCAAACCACCATTCATTATAACCCTTGCATTCCTGATAAAGCCATCTGGTTACCAAATGTTAATGGGAATTTTACTTGTGCATCAGCTTGGGAATTACTGAGAAAAAAGAAGCAGCCAAACCTTTCCAATAAGATAATTTGGCACAAGAAAATCCCATTCAAATGGTCTTTCACTGTTTGGAGAGCCTTGAGAAACAAACTCCCCACTGATGACAGGGTCCTTTCTTTCAGTAATCCCACAGTTTCTAGATGTGTTTGTTGCTCCATGCATTCCAATGAAACTGTAGAACACATCTTCAGTCAGGGCAATTTTGCTAAAATAATCTGGAGCAAATTTGGGAATATGATTGGAATCCAAACTGTCAACATGCCCCTGAGAATGATTCTAATGAAATGGTGGATGCAACAAAGATGCAATGATGTCCAAAAATTGGTTCTTGAAACATTGCCTATCATTATCTGTTGGAATCTGTGGAAAAACAGATGCAGTGCCAAATATGGAGGCAAAAATACCTCACTAACCAGGGTCCTTTTTGCTATCAATTCTGACATAAACCTTCTTCTCAAAGCAAACTACCCTGCAATTCCTTGGCCTACCAACTGGAGCACCCTGTACCCTTTCATTGAAAACATCAAACACCAAATTTCATCCATTCAAGTTTCTTGGTGTAAACCTGAGGTTGGTTTTGTTAAAATAAACAGTGATGGGAGTGCTTTAACCAACCCAGGCAAAATAGGAGCAGGGGTCATAATTAGAGGGCATTCTGGGGAGTTTATTCATGCTATTTCTGCCCCCTTAGGTGAAGGAACAAACAACTCTGCTGAAACAGAAGCTGCAATCCTGGGAATTCAATGGTGCTTGAATAATGGTCTTAAACAAGTTCATCTTGAAGCTGATTCTGCCCTTCTCATACAATTGTTAAATACTCACTCTGATCCCCCTTGGTCCATAGCCATGTCAGTCCTCAAGCTAAATGTGCAGTCAATGTGAGGACTTTAAGTCCTCACATGTATATAGAGAAGCTAATGGTCCAGCTGACTCTTTGTCCAAACTCAGCCACAACCTCACTTTCCTAACACATTTCAATAACCCCTCAGCACTCCCTAACCACATAAGAGGACAGATTTATCTAGACTCCATGGGCATCCCTGCATTCAGACATAGAAAAACCAACAGACTCAGATGTCCAACTGTCCATACCACCCCTCCACCCCCATCCTTTACCAACTCCCATGGTTATGGCTGAAATCCCCATTCATGGAGCTCCACATCCCATCAGTCCACACTCAAATCACAACCACATGACAATGGAAAAGATCAGCAGAAACCTCCCTAGAAAAACCAAAACCAAAGGCAAAGATACCCCATTTTCTACTAACCTCCCTCTCTTTTTTGCAGGCTCTGTTCATTTCTCCGTGCTTTACCAATTGATGTGTCCTAGGAGAGTGATAGAAATTCTTATGCTATCATCCTTCATGAGAACACACAAGTTGCTATACATGGACTACTTTGACAAAAACCTATGCATATTCAAATTGACACCTCAGGAAAATAGCAGTCACAAAAAACTGGGCAGAAATGCCAACATTTTTACTGACTTTGTGCTCCTTTTTGCAGACTACCCACCTTCTCCCACCCACTCTTCAACCTCCTCCACAAATAAGGCATCAGCTGTAGCTGCACCCAATCAAATCAAACTAAAATTTCTCCCCTCTTTCCTCAGAAACATTAAACACACACAAGTCACAGAAAAATGCATAAAATCAGCAGTTACTGCTGGAAATACAGACTCTGCAGGAATACCCCTTTCAGTTCCTACAACAATTTTTCCAAACACAACCCTTCCATGAACCCTACTTCCAACCAAAGAACACACCATTTACACACACCCCTGAACTCCAAAAACTGTCAGCTACAAGAAACTCTGAATCTGCAGGAATTCCTCTGTCAATCATGTTTCTAATTCCACTCTCCACCAACCCATAAACCCATATACAATCCAAAGATCTATACCATTATTGCTACAGGCTTTCCCATTCCTGCAACCACCATGAACATTGCAGGATCTCCTGTACTGCAGTTTGGTTCTTTTCCTCACAATGAAACCATGAGCTCCTATAACAACTGAGTGCAGTCAACACAAGAATGCACTCAGTCTTTGTGTATAGGTTAGGGATCATAATTGCTCCCCTTCCCAGACTCTCCTCCAGAACACACAAGAACCTGGAGATTGAGCCCCCTTTTTCTAACCTGTTTGTTTCTTCTTGCAGGAACATGGAGCTCACTTGATCAATGATCAAGTCAGGAGTGTAATTAGCATTTCAAATTGCTCATCTGAAACTATCATCTTTGAGCCAAGTCTCTCCATCCATTTTCTTACACACACATGAGCCAATACAGATGCTCAGTCAAGAGAAAATGCTGCTTCACAGTACAGCAATTGCAAAATAGCTAACAACAAACTTTTGACCAGAATCCTTGGAGGCCAACCTAAATTACTGCAATGTGTAGGTCAACAACAGCAATCCAAGAAGTCCCTTTTTGAGCTCTTTCCACAGCTTTCTTCATATATCTGAATGCAGTCACACGACTGCATCAGTTATGACCAGGGATCATCAATGCTCCTCTCTCCCCAGTCTATTCAGTCCAACACAAAGAACCTGAAGAATTGAGCCCCATTACCTCTATCCTCTTTGTAATTTGCATGGCTCAAGGAGATGGATTGGTCACTTGGTATGCCTTCAGATCATGGATTAACATCACAGATGTTCATTCTACTGAGTACACCAAGTAACAAAAATTCTCCCTTCAGCACCAGGTTACTAAACACAAGTGGACAACCTCTACTGCCAGCACCACTGCCAATTCCAACTGCCAAAGCACAGCTGCCAAGAACTATGCCAGAGTGCAGAGGCAGTTGCAGAATAAGAAGCAGATCTTACTACACGCAGTTCAGATCACCATGGGACAAATGCAGCTTCAAGAATAGCTGGTTGTTTCACCCTTTTCTGTCAGGAGCTGCACACACAACAACATCCAAAGCAGCCTTGTCTAACAAGCCTCCCCTTTTTGCTTTTTCTTAACAATTTCAAAGACAGCAAAGAAATTGCTTCTTCACAGTTGTGTGACTTAAAACTTAAGATAGGACTTTCGTGTTCCTTTCACACGCTGTATTTTGTTGTAAAAGGAGAATATACCTCCCAGCCTTTGCAGTAATGCTAGGCCTTGGTATGCACATAGTATAGTAAAACCTAGGATCCCAATATCGCATATATTATTCTAGGCTCATTTCCTTTGAATTCTGTACCCCTACTGTCTATCATTATGGATAGACAATTGGTACACCAATATACGGTCTCACATTGTCATAGATCTCAGGTGTCCATTTGGTTGTCGTGCGTGGCAAACCAAAAGCACCATCTCTTTTCTAGCGGAGGTAAGGTCCATGCCCCCCTCCAGCTTTTGTTGTAAACATCTTTTATATATATATATGAAAATCAACCCTACGGTCAGTACGAGAGGATATAAACTAATGGGATTCTCTTATGCAATGGCTACTGATATGACTTCTCCTTGGCTTGTGGAGGGGATTTTCAATGTTATTATGGGATGAGGAGGAAAAAGTTTTGGTGGGCTCCTGTTCATTTAAATGAGATTGATGATTTTAGGCATTGCATTAAACACTTGCAACTCACAGATCTGGGTTTCCAAGGGGAGTATTTACACATGGTGGAATGGAAGATCAGAAGAGGATTGTATTTTTGAAAGACTTGATAGATGCTTGGGTAATTTAGAGCTGCAGCAAACTTTTCCAGGACTTGAGATTACACATTTATCAAAAATTGGATCAGATCACTGCCCACTGTATCTGAAATGTGACATTGAAGCTGCTCCAATTAGGAAGCCCTTTAGATTCCTCAACTTCTGGACTAAGCATGACACTTTCAAAGATGTGGTGAGAGAAAATTGAATGCAGATTTTGCTGCAAATCCTTTCATACTGTTCAATTATAAGTTGAAAAAATTGAAGAAAGCACTTTCCAGTTGGAGCAGAGCAACATATGGAGATATCTTTCAGAAAATTGCCAGTTTAGAAGAGGTTGTTTTTAGTACATGAGAGGCAGTTTGAGGCATTTCCTACTCAGATGAATAGAGAAAGGTTGCACAAAGTTAAGGCAGAAATGATTAAGTATCTTGCTGTGGAAGAAGAATTTTGGAAGCAGAAAGCAGGCATGTTATGGTTTAAAGATGGGGATAGAAACACAAAGTTCTTTCATGCTCAAGTGAGGGGTAGAAGAAAGAAATTACAGCTGAGAAGGATACAGAATAACATGGGCATCTGGATAGAGGAGGAGGAGCAAATTGCAGAAGAAGCAGTCAGCTTTTACAAGGACCAATTCACAGAATCAGTAGTACCTTCAACCTTTCACATCATTGATCATGTTCCAACTTTGGTGGAGGAAGAGCAAAATGCAAGATTAACTGAGTTACCAACAAAAGAGGAAGTCAGAAAGGCAGTATATGGATTGAATGGGGATTCAGCAGGAGGACCTGATGGCTTTACTGGGGCTTTTTATCACACATGTTGGGATATTGTTGGAGAGGATATTTATGCAATGGTGCTGCAATTTTTCTGTGGCCAACAGCTACCAAAGTGTGTGACACATACTAACCTAGTTCTCCTACCAAAGAAAAAAGAGGTGACTACTTTTTCAGATTTGAGACCAATTAGCCTTAGTAACTTCATTAATAAAATATTTTCAGGGGTCATTCATGACAGACTGGTAGAGCTACTGCCTAATTTAATTTCTGAGGAGCAGGCTGGCTTTGTAAAAGGCAGGAGTATTGTAGAGAATATATTGCTTACCCAGGAGATCATTACTGATATTAGATTAAGAACTAAGGCTGGTCCTAATGTGGTAATGAAACTGGACATGACCAAGGCATATGATAGGTTGTCTTGGCTTTTCTTAACAAAAGTGTTGAGAAAGCTAGGCTTCTGTGAGAGGTTCATTGGCATGATTTTTGATTTGGTAGGGAATAACTGGTACTCAGTACTTATAAATGGTCAATCAAGAGGTTTTTTCAAATCAACTAGGGGTGTGAAGCAAGGGGATCCATTGTCTCCAACACTTTTTATCCTAGCTGCTGAGGCTCTTTCTAGGGGATTGAATTCACTACATCAAAATCTCTATTTCTGTGGCTTTGGACTGCCAAAGTGGAGTCCAAAAATAAATCACCTTGCTTATGCAGATGATACCATCATTTTTTCCTCTTCAGATGCCACATCACTGAGGCTGATTATGGAGATATTATATCTCTATGAAGCTGCTTCTGGTCAGTTGGTGAATAAGAACAAGTCTGCTATCTATATGCATCACCTTACAGATCCAGAAGTAGTAAGGAAAGTTGAGAGGATTACTGGTATTGGAAGTAAGGATTTTCCATTTACTTATCTAGGATGCCCTATATTTTATGCAAGAAGGAGGTTTGATTATTACCAGCCAATGATCACAAAGGTTCTTGACAGATTACAGTCATGGAAAGGAAAATTGCTTTCTATAGGAGGCAGGGCAGTCCTAATTTCTAGTATACTGCAGAGTTTACCAATTCATCTGTTATCTGCTGTAAACCCCCCAAACTATGTTATTAATAAACTGCATAAATTGTTTGCTCAGTTTTTCTGGAGTAGCTCAGTTGGGGGAAATAGCAGACATTGGGCTTCATGGAACACTCTTTGTATGCCTTATGATGAAGGGGGAATTGGCTTCAGATCCCTACATGATGTTTCCAAGGCACTGTTCTGTAAGCTTTGGTGGAATTTCAGAACTAAACCTAGTCTGTGGAGCTCTTTCATGAGTCAGAAATACTGCAAAAAACTAAATGCAGTAGTAGTACCTTGGAGGGAAGGCTCACATGTGTGGAGGAAAATGTTGGAGTGCAGGGATCTTATTGAACATCAGATAATATGGAAATTGAGGATGGGTTCTTCTTTGTTTTGGTATGATAACTGGACTGGACTAGGGGCCCTTTATTTTCTTGTTCCACAAGACTTTGGTATAGATGAGGGAATACAGAATGTGTATGAACTTGTGGAGAATGGAGCTTGGAATGTTGATAGAGTAATGGAGTTATTACCAGAAGACTTAGCATCACACATTATTGAGAAGATCAGCCCCCCACTGGTAGAAAATGACATAGACAGACCATTTTGGATGCTGGAACCCAGGGGTAATTTTTCTGTCAAAACAGCCTGGGAATACTTGAGAAGGAGAGAACACCCTAAAAGAGCTTATAAGATGATTTGGGTAAGAGGGCTTCCTTTTAAGATTTCCTTTTTCATGTGGAAGGTGTGGAAAGCTAAATTACCCTTAGATGACTTTATGAGAAGGCTGGGGTACTTCATGCCATCTAAGTGTTGGTGTTGTGCTGCACCTAAGGAGGAATCATTAGTGCATTTGTTCTACACATCAAAATCTGCTGAGACAGTATGGAGATATTTCCTACCAAGAGCTGGAATATCAGTACAAGGTTTAACTCTACACCAAGCCATTACAAGATGCTGGACTGTACCTGTGGTGTCTAGATTAAAACCAGTCATGCAGGCTTTACCTTCTTGCATAGTTTGGGAGCTATGGAAGAGAAGAAATAGTCTAAAACATGGAGAAGGTGTATCAGTCAGCAGAGTAATCTATCAAGTGTCAACACATCTCCAGCACCTGGTGCAGATGAGGAAACCTAACATACAAGTACCTCACAGATGGTCTAACTTGCTGACCATGATGGAAAACTATACTCCAAGGCTTAAATATGAGAAAGTACTATGGGAGTTTCCTATGGAGGGTTGGATAAAAGTCAACACAGATGGGGCATCAAGAGGGAATCCTGGAAGAAGTTCTATTGGTTTTTGTCTAAGGGATGCATCAGGTGATGTGAAATATGCATTGGGAAGGGAGATTACTGAAGGATCCAACAATGAAGCAGAAGCTGTAGCAATCTTAGAGGCATTGAGAATATGCAGGACTCTTAATTATTCTCACATATGGCTGCAGACAGATTCTATGCTCATGAAGAATACTATTGAGGGAACATGGAAACCACCTTGGTGTATTGTGGAATATGTAGAAGAGATTATGAAGCTTAAGGAGGGGTGCAGGATGAAACTGTCACATATTTTCAGAGAAGGCAACAAGTTGGCAGACCATTTGGCAAATTTTGCACTTGATTATGGCATGATTGAGGGCTATGACTTCTGGGATCTAGATGTACAGGGGAGGAGAATAGTGAATGAGGATAAGATGCAATGTCCATATATCAGAGTGAAAGTAGCAGGGAATTAAGAGGAGAGAAAGAGATGCAGGAGGGTCAAGGAGCTAATATAGGGAATCATCATACTCAAATCTGCATAGAGGAGAGTATGGTGATGCAGATCTTTTCTAACATTGTTTTCTTTTTTGCAGGTAGGAGCTTAGTATCTATGTTCTGTCAGGTATTTCATCTCTATAGGGTGGTATTAGTGCTTTGCACTCATTCCCTAGGAGATGAAGACAGGGCAAGCATAGATACTTATAGTTGGAGGATTCTAAAATCAGAAAAAAGGCTCAGAATGCTTAAGAGAATTGGGCATGCAAAGAGACTAGTTTTTCATTGGAAACTAGGGAGTCAGGCAGGAAGCTTTAACAGGATACAAGACTTACAACACAGAATTAGTTATTCTGCTGCTTTATTGAATTTGTTATTATTCTATAGTATAATGGAGGATCAATTGGTGGTATCAATGCTAGTCATTCATTCCAATGGTCTTAAATTATATCTAGAATATAGCACAAGTACAGTTTTGAATTCAAATACATCACAACAACAAAAGCAGAGGAAAATCAACAAATGTTATGCAGATATAAATACATACATCATGCTGATAGGAATACAACTATACATGTGGTGTGACACACTTGTAATCTGGGGTTTAAGGAGGCTTCAGGTGGTGGTATCAGTACTAAGTGCTCAATCCACCGGGGTTAACTTAAACCTAGAATACAATGTGGTTACAAACACATGTTCAACACAAAATCGAGAGAACAGAAGAGCATACCGCAAAGTAACAAAAAGGAAACCAACAAAAGCAGAAATACAGAACATACAAGCACAGCTTTGGGACCTATTAGTTACATGTGTGACTGACAGTAAATCTTACTGTATGATGCATACATGTAAAGAAATAATTAAGGAAAAGGAAAGTAATATTTTTCTACAGACATGGAAGGACCTAAATACAAGCTACAAAGACAGGAAAGGTACAGATTCGACCAAGGGTTACAGATGCAGCTTCTTCGTGGTTCATCAGAGGGGTGTGATAATCAATGGCGTACCAGAAGGAGTATACCACCAGGTAGGCACAGTAGTTGAAGCAGTCAGGCGGAGAACTCGAGAAGTCATAGTAGCAGCAGCTTGGCATACAGATGCAAGTAGATACATGAAAATCCAAAGAAGAAAGGAAGTTAGTACAGATGAGTGGAGCAAAAATGAAGAAGATACAACACAGAAGAAAGAGAAAGACAGTCGATGTTACCTAGGAGAGCTTCAGATGGAGGTGAGGAGGTTCTGGAGAGATGAAATGATTTGGGGATATGTGGTGGATAGTGGGGATTGTCGGTATATTAGGAAATGGGGGGGTGTTTTTAATATGTGGTACAGGTGTTGGAGGGAGTTATACACGCGTTGGGTGAAAACAAGGGTAGTTCAGAGGTTATTTGTGCAATTTAATAGGGTCAAGAGGAATTCTGGCTACTCATGTAAATGCACTTGGGTGGGCAGTGGCTATCAATGTAATATGGCTTTCAGTTGGGCTCGTTGTATTGGGCTAGCAGATGAATATCTGGGCTGTTGTGGGAAGGCATCATTATTGGTCTATCTAAATAGCCAGTGTATATGTTTTACATATATGTGGCTATTTGTTAAATTCAATAATTGGAATAAATTGGCTGGTTGTGCAAGGTGTTGGCTATATGTGCTAGTTCGGGTGTGTTTGGACTGGGTAGGTTGGTTCATACTGAGTTGTGTGAATAACCATTATGTGTTTGCACATGTATGGCTATTTATTCAATTCAATAATTTGTGTATTGGGGTTACTAATGCAAAGGCGAGGCTGTTTGTGCAAAGCAGAGGTGGAAATTTGGAGCTGACTACACAGTTGGGTTTGGCGTTTTGGGCCAAATTGGAGGCTTTGGCTTATTCAATGTATACGGTTGGGCTAAATGTGCAATTTGGAAATTTTGGAGTAAACAGTGGCTATTTGTGCAAATCAGTAAATACCTCCAATAGTGGTCTTGTTGGGCCAACAGATCGGGTTTTTTATTGGATTAATTTTGAGGCAATTTTGAGTAGAATTTTTGTAATATCAATTTTGAGTATAATGCTCAATTTTGATAATAGGTCTTATGTAGATTTTTATTTCCTTTTCGTACATCCATTAGGATTTCATGACATTGTGCTTGTTTGTTTTTTAGTTATAAATAAAAATTAGCCCTAGGCCATGCCTAGTGGATTGTTTAAAAAAAAAAAAAACCCTAATACATGAATATGTACTCATTGAATTGCACACTGATTCAATGATGATGAAGCATGTTATAACTGGAGAATGGGATGTACCATGGAATATAGCAGAACATGTGGAGGAAATAAAGGAACTAATGAATAGAAGCAATGTAACAGTAACTCACACTTTGAGGGAAGGAAATAGATTAGCTGATCATCTAGCTAATTATGCCTTGGACTTTGGGGATTTTGAAGCACACAATTTCTGGGAGTTAGATATACAAGGAAGGAAGATAGTTAATGATGACAAATCACAATGCCCATATATCAGAATAAAAGTTGCAAGAAACTAGAAGGAGAGGGGGCAACAAGGAGGAGAGACAGTATGCAGCCAGCTGGGGTGATATATGTTAACTGTTATAGTCAAATCAAGGTTGAGGAGACTATGATCAGTTCATTGGAGTGGGTATATATGAGATCAGGAGGCAGGATCATTCAATGGGGTCAAATCCTTAAGGAGGAGGCCACAGGAAGAAATTTTTTTACTAATAAGAGCAAATTAGAGTCTGGGGGAGAATCAGAACCAGGAGATAATGATCACATCTTTCATACTCAAATCTGTTTAGAGGAGAGTATGGGAGAATTTTTAGGTACTAACTTGGTGTTCTTTTTTGCAGGTACAGATGTTATGCTATCTATATTCTATGTTCTAAATAAACTTAAGATGGTGGTATTAGTACTTGGTACTCAGTCCATCTGGGTAGATTTAAACATAGGATATAGTTTAGTATTAAGGAGATTCATAAAGGGTGTGGCTGAGAAAGTACTGTCCTGGTGGATATTCAAAAGACCACAAACCAATTCACATCTTCACACCCACAGAAGAAGGAAAGTAACAAGTAATATAGAAAACAAGTGCACATATGGGAAGTCACAGACACACAGATTGCAGACATTTGGTTTCCAAAGGATGGGAAGTCAGATGGAGGATGCATCTGTAGAACAGGAAAGAAAGCCTCATGGAGATACATACATGGAGTCAGGTCTATGGGCTTGGCTTTTGTTCTATGATGTAATGGAGGTTCAATTGGTGGTATTAATGCTATGCATTCATTCCAATGGACTAAAATTACACCTAGACAAGAGCACAAGTATAAAGCTGAAATCAGATGCAACTCAGCAACAGTTGCAGACAAGAGTAAAACTCCACAAATCAAGTCAAGCTATAAATACACCCAATATGTTGACAGAAAAACAAGCATACACATGGTGGTACACAGTCAAGACAATCATATCTATAGTCTATGTTATAAGGAGGCTCCAGGTGGTGGTATTAGTACTTTGTACTCATTCCACCGGAGTTAAATTAAATCTGGACTATAGGGAGATTACAAGGGAAGGTAATTGCAAAACATCGTACCAGATATCAGGATCTATTGCTCATATACACAAGGGATTACAATTAGCCATAAAAAACAAGAATGCACAGCTCTTGGAGCTTTTAGTTGCACTTTTTGCAGACAGTAAAATCATCATTTTGATTGATTTCAACTGGATGATGCAAAAGGAAATAGAAATAGCTAAGGGTAAGGGAAACAGGCATGGAATTCATATAGGGTCTATTATTACAAACAGCTACAAAGGAGGGGACTTTACAAACTCGATAGCAGTCTTCATATGCAATTTCATCGATGGACAGCAAGGTGTNAATGCAAAGTGAAGAGGAAACTGGAGGAGTAGATGATGAAGAACAAAGTGTAAATGGAAATGCCAAAGGCAAATCAGCTGCTGAAGGCCAAGGTTTATTGACTACAACTGGTGAGGTAGACCTACAGCAGCAAAACAAGGAGACTGTGGCAACTAAAGAGGTGGAGGCTAGCAATATAGATCCAAGGGGAACACACCCTATTGGTATCTCTAGTGCAAAAACAGACTCCATACCACTCCATAAGAACAACAAGGATCAGGTTATACAGCAATCCCAGCAGGGTTTAAAGGTGGTAGATGCTAATGAAGGAGAAGCAGCAGAAGTGAACAAAAGAAGCAGATGCAGGAGTTAACTGGAAGCATAGATCCATTGGCCCTTACACATGTTCAGAAGACCAATTTGCAGGGTGTTGATGCAGCAGTTATTGTTCCAAAGGGTACTAATAATGTAGTTGTTCAAGAGACCAAGAAGATCCAGGAACAAGAGCAATTTGCAGAACATAATGGCAAAGATATGGATGAGGAGTCAACTGCTCAGAACTTTATAAATATAGCAAAACAAGGAGATCTTTCACCTAGGTATATTGAGCAAGCAAAATCTGCAAATAAAGGTAGAAAGAAGCAGGCAAAAGAAACATCAACTGTTCCAGCAGTAGGTGTACAAACCAGGAGGACTTTATCTAAAAATCAAAATCAGTAATGGAGGCAATAATTTGGAATGTAAGATCAGTGAATACAATGCAAGCTTTTGAAAGACTGATCTTAATGCACAGGCAGCATCATTTTGAATTCATTGGAATATTAGAACCTATGCAACAGTCAAACAAAATGGAGAGATACAGGGCAAGAATGGGTTTGGCTCAGGCTGTGGTTAATGTATCTAATAAAATATGGGCATTCATAGATGAAGTGTATGAGGTGACAATTCTGTACAACATGACTCAACAGTTGACTCTGAAACTGTTTCACACAGAAACTCATATAGAGCTTATACTTACTCTAGTGTATGCTAAATGTGATGCAATAGAGAGGATAGAACTATGGGATTCTCTTTATGCAATGGCTACTGATATGACTTCTCCTTGGCTTGTGGGAGGGG